TTGTTAAAGCCAGGTCCGTTGCACTGTTTAAATTAAACCCGATCCAAGATCGAGGTTAAGGCTTATATCAAGTACAGGTCTTTTGCATGTTCGAGATCCCGCCTAATGTCARGCTGGGTCTGTYTCTTTAATAAAAAATTTTTGCCTCCCAAATACTTTGTCTTTTTTCYTTTGTCTACCCTTTTAGTTCTGCAAGGATACACAAAGGGGGGCAAGCTGTTGACACCGTATTTGGTCCGGCTCAAATTTTATTATTTTATTTATTTATTATTAACATTAATATTAATATTTTATATTATAAAATTTTATTTGTTTTCATTAAAAATAACATATTTTACTTTATTATTTTTAAGGTAAGGTTTTAATTAAATTTAAAAATAGATTTTGTTTTAAAAGAATTTKATTTATTATTAAAATAAATAAATAAATAAGATTTGATTTTAAGTAAATAAAAAGATTTGTTTAAATTTAAAAAAAAAAGTTTTTTTTTTAATAAAACCGATTCTGTTTTACTCGTCAAAACTACTATAACGTGACCTTTTCTTCGTTATCTTCCTCCTTTTTTTTCTCTCTTCAATTTTGACCCTCCCCATTGTTACCGTTACATTTTTGCTTATTTAAGGAGGGGAAAGGGAACTGACACACAGAGAAGACAACGTGAGAGCAGGGGCAGCACAAATTTCATAGAGTTTGGCTTTAAAAATTCAAATTTYCTTGCACATCACACAAGTTTGAGAATTTGCMTGGGCGTCAAATCTGACTTTACTTCACTCTCATTGTCGAAATCTCCTCAAATCCCAATTCATACATGGTAAGTTCAATCATCTCACCCTATTTCGATTACATCAGTCAACTATGAAAGTTTTTTTTTTCCTGTCTTTTCTCTTGTCCCAAGTGGATGATAAACGAGGATGGGGGAGAGCATGAATCCCTGATTTTGGCAATAGAATAGACAAGTTTTATAGTGGGACGAATTATTGAGTTTTCACCCCGTTTAACAGAGA